TCTTCGAGCGCATCGCGGGCGAGGCGTCGCGCCTGGCGCATTACAACAAGCGCTCGACCATCACGTCCAGGGAGATCCAGACGGCCGTGCGCCTGCTGCTGCCCGGGGAGCTGGCCAAGCACGCCGTGTCCGAGGGCACCAAGGCCGTCACCAAGTACACCAGCTCCAAGTAAATATGTTTACAGCCGCCATCAAACCCAAAGGCTCTTTTCAGAGCCGCTTAAATTCTCATTAAAGAGTTGGAATGCATTCGAGTTGAATTTGAATTTTAAGCGTTTGCTGGGGAATTGTCTTAAGCACAACTTGTTGCTTAGAATTTACTACTCCTGTAAAAAAGAATCACGTAGAGAGACTCATGTGCTCAGTAAAGTGACTTCCTCCCTGCACCTTTGTATCTTAACATTGTAATGAGGCTGCAGTTCTGCACACTACACTTTATTCTCAGTTATGAAAAAAGAACGCTAGAGAGGGAACTCTTAAAGTATTACTTTAGCAATGGTTTTTCACTTTGGTATAGTAGCAATTGATCCCAGTTTCAGGTGTCCCCCCCCCCCCCCCCCCGCCCACTCTGGATTCTACTAGAATCATCACCCTCAACCCGGAATCATTACCACCATCCCCGAGTTTCAAGCCTTACATTAGCAGGCCTCCTCTACGGATTTCTAGATTGTAATACCTCGACTTTTTCTCTTTGTGCCCAGACCCCTGCATATGGATCCTGTTTCCTTCAGTTGTCGTTAGAATACCTTAGATCTGCTTTTGCTTTTCAGTATTCCAAAACCTGTGTAACTTTAAATAACCAATAGTTTTTTGTTTTCCTGACTGGACACGCATTGTGCCAAGCCTCCCTTGATTGAAAGGGTCATTTCTACTTTACATTTTGAAGCGTTTGCGTTTTGCACTTTCTCTCATTATCGGGGTCTTTGATAATCATATAAGAGATTTTCCTTGTTTTCAAGGAACTCACAGTCTCAGAGGGTTTATCACCATCAGTTCTCCCAGCCAGGTAAAGCATTTATTCCAGGAGACAAAAGTGAGTTGAATTTCAGCGGAGCCTACAGGCCTCTGGGATAGGGCGCTTCCCCTTTTAGCCTCACCAAGCCTTTTTGGCCTACTCAGGATGTTTCATGAAAGATGAATAAGAAATGCACCAAGAAGAGATGTAGCCTAGTGCTCGGGAGAGGAATAATCTATGTAAAAGTAGTTTCTAAAGTGTTGAGAAATCTGTAGATGTGAAGTGTTCTTGAGTTCTATGTAGACATTTTTGAAAGAGCATAGAATCAGAAGGTAATTGGTTGAAATTTCAGTTCTGCCAGGTAAGCGAACTTTGGTTCTCAGACCCTTTGTTTCTTACTTATAAAATAAGAATATTACTAAAATCAACTCCATTGACACTTTTGTGAAAACAAATGCAATGATTATAACAAAAATAAACATTTTAGTGGGATTTACAATTATGAAATTATCGACATTAGGAGATAAATTTGTTCCGTTACTCTTATACTTTACATATAATGAAGGCAAGCTTTTTGAAGTTGTGTTATAATCAGAAGTAATAATACTACAATGAGAGCAGGAACTGCTGCTCCATGATATTAGACTTTCTGCTGTTAAAATCAGACACCTTAGACACTAGCAGAACAGGAAATGCAATTTGCTGCTGTTAAAATTAGAGCAATTTCAAAATTATGTAACCCTACAATATTTAGGAAAAATTAGCATGCCTTTACAGTAATTTTGATAATATTTACACATTTAAATATATAGTTATAGGGCCTGCCCCGTGGGTTAGCGGTTAAGTGCGCACGCTCCACTACTGGCGGCCCTGGTTCGGATCCTGGGCGCGCACCGACGCACTGCTTCTGCAGCCATGCTGAGGCCGCGTCCCACATACAGCAACTAGAAGGATGTGCAACTATGACATACAACTATCTACTGGGGCTTTGGGGAAACAAAGTAGTAGGACTGGCAATAGATGTTAGCTCAGAGCTGGTCTTCCTCAGCAAAAAGAGGAGGATCAGCATGGATGTTAGCTCAGGGCTGATTTTCCTCACAAAAATAAATAAATAAATAAATATATAGTTATAATCTTAAAGTTATTGAATACATTAATAATTCTTAAACTTCTGTGGGTGCATTAATTTCCTATTGTGGTCTAATTATCACAAATTTAGTGGCTTAGAACAATACACATTTATAATATTATAGTTCTGTAGATCAGCATTTGGACGCGAATCTCACTGAGCTAAAATCAAAGTGTCAGAAGGCTGCATTCCTTTCTGGGGCCTCTACAAGTGAATCTGTTTCCTTGTCTTTCCCGGCTCCTAGAGCCATCCTCCTTCCTTGGCTCATTGCCCCATTCCTAGATTTTCAAAGCCAGCGATGACTGGCCAAATTCTTCTCATGCTGCCATCTCTCTGGTTCTATGTTCTGATTCCCTATTCCATTGTTAAGGACCCTTTCGATTACATTGGGTTTGCTTGGATAATCCAGGATCATCCTCTTATTTTAAAGACAGGTGATTAGCAACCTTAATTCCACCCACAACCTTAATTGCCCTTTGTCATGTAACCAAACACATTCACAGATTCCAGAAGTTAGGAGGTAGACGTAATTGGGGTGACATTATTCTGCCTAGCACAGTATGTGACAATACTTTTAGAATTTGATGGAAAGCTATATAGTTTCTACTCTAGGAGGCGGAAGAACATATGGACACACTGTTATATATATTTTCAAGAAGTTCATGTACTCCCCTGAAGCTCAAGGACCTTTGTTGGATATGTACTTCTGCGACTACAGAAAGCAAAAATTAACTATAACAATATAAACTCTCTTATACAATTATGTTATTTTTAGTTTTCATTCTTTTACATTTTTCTTATTGCTGCTTTTGTTCTTTATGTGTTTTGTTTGAATGTTTATGTATTATTTGTGTGTGTTGTGTTGTGTGTGTGTGTCCATTTATGCGTTGTGTACGGAGTGAGAAGCTTGTTATTCATGAAAGAAATTATGCAAGAATATATATATAACTTTTTTCTTACCTGGGTTGAAATCGTAATAATATTTTGTACATACATTCTTAACGTTGATTCTATGTGGGATGCCATTCACGGTGGTTTATAACCTGAAGTAGGTTTGTAATTACCAGGAGAAAACGGTCAATTTTCATTATCATAAGTCTACATAGGAAAGGACAGTTGTGGTGTTGTAACTGGAATGACGTATGAATTTTTTTTTTTCACTTAAAAAGAATTTTAACCAAGCAGGATAAAAATAAACTGCTATAAAATCCACTCTGGAAGAAAATAATTAAGGGAGAGGCACCCCTATATTTTAAGAGTGTTTCTTTCCTAGACTACCAGTATGGTCTAACCTTTCAGTAGACAAGCCTGGGGAGATTTCTCATTACAATTAAATGACCCTATCCTGGAGCTGGTAATGTTCGTTTTTCAACTTTCATGCACACTAATTGTCCTGGGCCCATTAATATTTAAAAGAGATATATTGCTTTAAAAACATAAATCTACTAAATGTGTACAAAGCGGTAATGACTAAACCATAATTAATTGTTGTTACAATACACTACTAACAAAGGAGATATTACTAAATTTCTTAGATCTCTTTCACTTTTCAAGAAATCAGTGTGTAAGGCACACATCACAGCAGTGTAAGTGAATCTTGCATGGCAGCACCTGGGCCAGCCTTGCAGCCAAAATGAGCAGTGGAAGCGACACATGCTACCACTAACCTATAATTAAGTACATATTTTGGTGTCAACCGGTCAAAAGGTCTTCTGTATTTCAAGGTGCTAGCATCTCACAAGCACTAGCCTAATATTTTTCACAGTGATTAAAACAAAACCTGTTTAGCAGACATATAGTCCTTACAACCCTTATGCTGAAAAGGTGGGTGGCTCTGAAAACAGCCTTTGGGTTGTGGGTAGCTGCGGGCCGGCTCACTTGGAGCTTGTGTACTTGGTGACGGCCTTGGTGCCCTCGGACACGGCGTGCTTGGCCAGCTCCCCGGGCAGCAGCAGGCGCACGGCCGTCTGGATCTCCCTGGAGGTGATGGTCGAGCGCTTGTTGTAATGCGCCAGGCGCGACGCCTCGCCCGCGATGCGCTCGAAGATGTCGTTGACGAACGAGTTCATGATGCCCATGGCCTTGGACGAGATGCCGGTGTCGGGGTGGACCTGCTTCAGCACCTTGTACACATACACGGAGTAGCTCTCCTTGCGGCTGCGCTTGCGCTTCTTGCCGTCCTTCTTCTGCGCCTTGGTCACCGCCTTGGAGCCCTCCTTCGGGGCTGGAGCAGACTGCGCGAGCTCAGGCATGACGAATAAACCCTATCTTTCCAAAAAAAAAAACAAAAAAGTGTGGTCCAGTTAAAACGCTCATAATATTTGTAGCGCTCCTATGCAAATATGGTATTAAAAATTTAGATTTTGATTGGATAATTAGTTCAGGTTGCATGGTGGTATGCAAATTATGTGACTCTAGTTCTCCTTTGTAATTGGTTGCCAACCTCAAGCTTGCTTTAGCCAATCAAATAGCTTAATTTACAATTCTGCTTGCAAGTATAATTGCTTCTCATCTGCTAAGAGATTTTACTCATTTTTCTTTTTTCTTGTTGACCATTGGGCTTAGACAGCATTAAGATGTCGGGACGCGGAAAACAAGGTGGTAAGGCCCGCGCCAAAGCTAAGACGCGTTCCTCGAGGGCTGGCCTTCAGTTCCCCGTGGGCCGTGTGCATCGCCTTCTCCGCAAGGGAAATTACTCTGAGCGGGTCGGTGCCGGCGCGCCGGTGTACCTGGCGGCGGTGCTGGAGTACCTGACGGCTGAGATCCTGGAGTTGGCGGGTAACGCGGCCCGCGACAACAAGAAGACGCGCATCATCCCGCGCCATTTGCAGCTGGCCATCCGCAACGACGAAGAGCTGAATAAGTTGTTGGGCAAAGTCACCATCGCTCAGGGCGGCGTGCTGCCTAACATCCAGGCCGTGTTGCTGCCCAAGAAGACCGAGAGCCACCACAAGGCCAAGGGGAAGTAAACTGGTGTATTAAAATCTTAGATTCTTGAGTATCTTAACCAAAGGCTCTTTTAAGAGCCACCCACGTATTCATTAAAAGAGCTTACCTTTTCTTTATCTAACCAGCTGATTGAAAATGATCTTTAGCGTAATTTATCAATCTAAGAAGTAAATGTCAGTACTTAAACTCTTAAAAAACGCGAAATTAACCATCTATTTCAAAGTTATAAAACTAAAAATTAGCATCTGCTAAATATAACAGATATAGAGATTTTGTGTCACAGGTAATTCAAGTCGATCAATGCAGCAGACTCCCAGGATTTGTAACTGAGGAAAAGATAATGGGAAGAATAACAATCCTTGGTCAATGTTATATTTATATGCAAATCTAGTTAGTGACCTAGAGAGCAATAAAACCACACCTTTAGTACTATCTCATGTGTAAAGGAATTGTTTTGCATCCTAAAGGGACAAAATTATCTGCAATTCATGCTTTTTTTTTTTAATAGTCCACCTCCAACTCTATTGAGCTGGGCTCTGATCAACTGAAAAAAGGAATGCAATACTACATACCCTGGAGTCAGATGTCTTTTATGCAGAGCTTCGTAACACTGGGTTCAGCATGACTTGAAAAGGGCGCACCATAATCTCTGTAGCATTTACAAGTTTGATTGTTTTTTCTTAACACCATTTCACACAAACCTCGGTTGAAACTAAAACGTAGTGGGGTGCTTTTATATAACGATGATATAGTTAGAAGCTTGTGTGTTAATGTAGTTATAATATCGAGTGTGAAATTACTTCAGAGTTAATGATCTTGGTGCATTCAGAAAAAGTCTATAAAGAAAGAAAAATCTCTGAGTTTAAGTAGAGAAATCAAGAAATTGATGTGAAATTAGCCTTCCTAAACTCGAATGAGGGTAAAAAAATCCCTTGGCCAATCACATCCAGCGCGCGCCTTGTCAAAATGCTGATTAAAATAAAGCCAGTTTCAGGTGCCAAAATTTTAAATTCTTATTCAGCAAACAAGCCATATCATTGCAATAACTTGCGTTAAATTCTGCCGAGAGAAGCCAAAGATCACTTACAGAAACGATATAAAGACAGAAGAGGCGAGAAAGGGCTGAAAACACCAGCAGTTAAAAGGATGGGTTGGAGGAAGACGTTCATTTCTGCTGTAAATGAACCGGAGGCTCATGTGATCTGGGGCTGACCATCTCTACCAATACCTTCACTGCGAGCCAGAGGGGAACAAATGCCTTGTCCAATCAGAACGAGACTCTCTTTATATATACTGGTAGAAAGTGACACGCTTTCATTTTTCCTTCAGATAGCTGCTTTTGGGAAATTTGTCATGGCTCGTACTAAGCAGACAGCTCGCAAGTCCACCGGCGGCAAGGCCCCGCGCAAACAGCTGGCCACCAAGGCGGCCCGCAAGAGCGCGCCGGCCACCGGCGGCGTGAAGAAGCCCCACCGCTACCGGCCCGGCACGGTGGCGCTGCGCGAGATCCGCCGCTACCAGAAGTCCACCGAGCTGCTGATCCGCAAGCTGCCCTTCCAGCGCCTGGTGCGCGAGATCGCGCAGGACTTCAAGACCGACCTGCGCTTCCAGAGCTCGGCCGTGATGGCGCTGCAGGAGGCATGCGAGGCCTACCTGGTGGGGCTCTTCGAGGACACCAACCTGTGCGCCATCCACGCCAAGCGCGTCACCATTATGCCCAAGGACATCCAGCTCGCACGGCGTATTCGTGGGGAGAGGGCGTAAACTGTTTCTTAACCTTATACCCAAAGGCTCTTTTAAGAGCCACCCAGAGTTTCTATGAAAGATTGCTGTGTACTTGTAGCGTCGAAGCATTCTCATCTGCCTGCCATCCCCTTCTTCCCAAAGCGGTATCACAGCTCTTTGAGATCAATTGGGTGGCTCTGAAAAGAGCCTTTAGGGTATTCTCAACTAGTCTTTAATTCTGTTACTTCTTTTTGGGGACCGTCTTCTTTGGCTTGGCTGCCTTGGGCTTAGGTGCTTTGGCCTTAGCTGGATTCTTAGTCGCCTTCTTCGGCTTGGCTACCTTCACCTTTTTCGGGCTCTTGGCCACTTTCTTGGCCCCAGCAGCCGCCGCCGGTTTCTTCGCCTTCCTCGGGGTCTTTGTGACGCTCTTCTTCGGGGTGGCCGCGCCCGTCTTGGGTTTCTTGGCCACCCCAGCAGCCTTCTTCGGCTTGGCTGCGCCCGCCTTTTTTGGCTTGGGTTTGGCTTCCTCGGGGGCCGCCTTCTTGTTGAGCTTGAAAGAGCCGGAGGCGCCGGTGCCCTTAGTCTGCACCAGGATTCCTTTGCTCACCAAACTCTTAAGGCCCAGTTTGATGCGGCTGTTGTTTTTCTCCACGTCGTAGCCGGCGGCCGCCAGCGCCTTCTTCAACGCGGCCAAGGACACGCCGTTGCGCTCCTTGGAGGCGGCGACAGCCTTGGTGATGAGCTCCGACACCGGGGGCCCGGACGCCTTGCGCTTCGCGGCACCTGCGGAGTTGCGGGCCTTCTTCACAGGCGTCTTTTCCGCGGGAAAAGGAGCAGGAGGCGCAGCAGGTGCGGTTTCGGACATGGTTTAGATTTGGATACCTAACAATAAAAGATAAAGTCTCCCAGTTGAGTTGCCAGGCCTGACAGTGTGTGTGTGTGTATATATAGACACACAGCGACGCTGCACGCTGATTGGTTCTTAGCTTAGTCTTCCAGCTTGACAGCAACCTAGTCTCAGCTCTGTCCCGGAATTGTGTTTGTTACAATTCAGGAAAGCAAAAAAATTAAAATTTCCTGTGGAGAAATAGCACCAATTATATTCTATAATGAACCGGGACAGCTCAAGCTTTCAGATCTTCATATTTCCTTCCTCCAGTTTTTATCACGTCGGTCTCAGCCTTTTTCAAAAGCCCCTGACACTCTGAGAAATTCACAGGTCAGGGAGACAACTTTTTGATTTTTGTTTAAAATATAAACTCTTCCCTTTGTGTCTTCAATATCTTACTCTCTGGTAATATTCTATACATTCTTGACTTCTCATACGTTCAAAAACTGCTTGATTCTCATTGAGATTTACCCAGAAAATCTATTTCATATGAGGAGAAATAACACAGGCTCTTTCTGGATTTCTCTACAAGAACTATAGTAAAGGATGCTTGGCATAGCAGCAATTTCTGATAAGAAAAATCATTATTTTGTTTGAAAAAGCTTTATCATAGCTTCTTGTTACTATTTGGAAGGTAAATTTGGGGGCTTCAAGCATTCAACATTTGTCTAGGAAAATGGAAAATGAAATAATCAACGATGCTCTTGACATGGTAGTTGGGACTGTGTTGCAATAGCTGTTGGCAGAGGAGATCCAGAAAAAGGGGTAAAAGAGAGTTGGACCCCTTTATGAGTTTTTAAAAAATCTTTTATTTACATTGATTTAATTAGGGAGGGTCAATTATTAAAATGTTCACAAGATTTTGGGTACAAAGTCTGTCATGCTTGGAGAGGACAAACTTTGGCAAAGTATTCAAGTAACAGAATTAAGGAATATACACACACAACACACACGCATACAGATTTAAGAGAGGGAACTTTAAAAACAAGCATGATTTATATTCCTGTCTACATTTCTTATTTAAGCAAAGACATAAGTTTATGGGAAACATATTACAGCTTATGCTTAATGTTGAGAAGTAAGTTGATGTTAGAAAGTGGTTTGATTTTCTTCACTCTTCAAACTATGTTTGTCTTTAACACTTTATGTTTATTTTGAAGCATATACAAGTCTGTGTTTCACTAGGACTTTGAAAGAAAAAAAATACTGGGAACAGACAGAGCAAAGCTCAACAGGTGAGAGTTTCATACTCCTCCTTGAGCCCATAAAAATCAAGGAATGACTGATTACTTCATGCAGCACATCCAACTTAAACACAAAAAAAATGTTAACAAAAATTAAAAATATGATTCAAAGGATTCAAGTATTCACTTGTTATGGAGTTCATGTATTGCTAACCTTCTTAAAATGGTTTTGACTCATTATAGTTGGTTTTCTGCAGCATCAGAAAAGGAAGAGCTGTCTCTTAGCCATCTAAATGTGGGAAATCTCCAAGGTGCTGCCCCATTCGCCTTCACTGGTTCTTGAGTCTGTCCTCTTGCCTAAATGCCAAACTTGCATTTCTGGGAGCTTGCTGAGTATCTGCTCCTATATCTACCTATACAAGACTCTCAACATGACCAACATCATCTAAGTATGTAGTTTCCAATCAAAAGATAACCTTCCCGTTGACATCATTATAAGTTCTATTAACAACAACACCATTCTTTTATTAACTGGCACAAAAAATTTCAGTTCTTCCATTTCCTTTCTCACCAAATCCAATCTGTCACCAAGTTTGGTGAATTTTTCCTAAATTCATCTCTTCTGTTATTTCCCCCATCATAGTTGTAATTCTGGCTCTTCTCTTCCATGTCTGGACTAGTTATTCTCACAGCTTTCTTATGGGCCTCTTCTCACTTTCTGTAATCCATCCTCCTCACTAATCTCAATGAAATATTCTTTAAGTGAGCTTCAAATTTATATGGCCCATCTTCCTGTAGCTTTCTAATTTAAAAATAAGCATTGTAGCATAGCATTCAAAGCCTTTTATATGCTGCTAAATCACCGTTCTGGCAGTGTGGTTTAGCAGAAGAAGCATGAATTTGCAAACACCCTGACTTGTATTTGAGTCTGTTTCTGCAGCTTGGAAGCTACATGATCTTGGTCAAATCGTCTAACCTTTCACAGTGTCTTTTTCCAGTTTCTTCTTCCCTTTTCCCTCTCCTCACCCTATTTTACAGTCAAGGCATACATCAAACTAATCTAATGACATACTTCAAAATATTTATATATGTCATTCTCAATCTCTTGAACTGGATGAGATCTCTGCCTCTTTTGAACTCCTACATTGATTTCTGTACTGGCCATTATAATCTGCTTCATATTATCTGCATACTTATCCTCTTTTAAATCTTCCTAGTAGACTGTAAACAACCCAGAGTGTGGTTGGCCTTATAGATGTGGCATATAGTCATTTATAGAAATATAAATAAATAAAAAAAATATATATATATATATATATATATCTAAACTTGCACAAATACATATAGGGAGTCCATATGGAACCAGAACTCAAGAATGAATCCCTTTCCATTGCTTTATTCTGCTGTCACAGCTACTGCCCAAATGCTTGTTTTCTATGCCACCATGTTCTGCGCAGTACTGTTAAGATAGTAGATCTTGACTCTTGTTACTTATTTTAAATTGAATGAAAGTCACACATGACCAGTTGGGGCCTTATACTCCATTGAAGGTATAGAGCAATTATAAAATTAGTGGCCTGTTCCAATTTCTATCACTGAGCTCTGAGTGGCCCAACTATGCCTCTCCTTAGAGAGTTTTAATCCTCACATCAACATAAGCAGAGAATTCACATTTCAGCATCCATATTCCTATTAGATATGCTAAAGGAATATGAAATGTATGGGGCTTTTTGTCCCCTTTATATGTTGGAGAAGTGAAACAATTCTGTCAACAAAATGACCTTTCTGTATCAATATAGACGAAAAAACATAATTTATTACACAGTAAGCATTAACAAATTTACTTACATGTAAGTTAGCACAAAAACGACTACAGTTAGGGAAAAAATCTTACACTTCTTATACAGCAAAGCATAAGAAACTTCTCTTTATCTCCTCAAGACACAGGGTCTATACCTTGTGACAATCTCCTGTATATCTTGTGAGAGACTACTAAACTAATTCCAGAAGTACGTTTTTATTTATTTAGAGATTATTTGGCCCACAATCTAGGCGATATCTCTGCATTGTAAAAACTGGAGTCCAGGCTTAATCCCCAGAAAAATTTCTCCCTATTCCTAAGGGAAAAGTAAAAACTCAAACTCACTATTTCTCCAAGAAAACTCTCTAAGAAAAGGAGAGGAAATGACCTCTTCACTGTTTATAAGTAGAGAAAATCATTGCCATTTACCCTTACACACCTCAATTCTTACCAACTTATGATTTTCATTCCAACATTCATGAAATTTCCCAATGCTCCTCTCTGCACATTTTTGAAACCTAGAGTCTTTCAAGGCTTTCAGGATCCCATAGAAGAGGGATTCTTAACCATTTCTGTGTCATGGATTTCTTTGTATAGTTGATAAATCTTAAGGGCTCCTCAGTGATTTTTAACCTGATTTGACCTCTAAACTTGTAATCTATATACTTTTAGTTCGTGCAGTAGGGTTATCCAGCCTTCAAACCAAAGGGCCCTGTTAGTTAACCAGACATCCATAAATCAATAAAACTAATAGAAATTAAAGCAATAAAGATATGATTTGCTTAAAATCGCATGTACAGCGTCTTATAGGGGAAAACTGCATGAATTAACTAATTATTTTATACTCTACGAAATCTGAACGACAGTGCCAGGCTTCTTTGTGGCAAGTGTATGAATTGCTGCCCCACTTAATGGCTGCAAGTATTGGATGCAGACACAGACACACATCCATATATAGGAGCATTTATTAAATCTCACTTCCAGGATCCATTGTCGCTTCAGGCCCCCCGCCTGGTCTCCACAGCTCTTAGCAAGGGACAAATAAGCGAAGGGCGGGAACTGAGTGGTTACCGCCCTCGATCTTGAGGTTTTCAAACAGGTCCGTCATGTTACTATAAAAGGGCTGAGTGGCGCTACCGAAGGTATTGCTTTACAGGCTTAACCACTGTATTGTCACGATGTCTGGGAGAGGTAAAGGCGGAAAGGGGCTCGGGAAGGGGGGCGCTAAGCGCCACCGAAAAGTTCTGCGTGACAACATCCAGGGCATCACCAAGCCCGCCATCCGGCGCCTGGCCAGGCGCGGCGGCGTCAAGCGCATCTCCGGCCTCATCTACGAGGAGACCCGAGGGGTGCTCAAGGTCTTCCTGGAGAATGTGATCCGGGACGCCGTCACCTACACCGAGCACGCCAAGCGCAAGACGGTCACCGCCATGGACGTGGTCTACGCGCTCAAGCGCCAGGGCCGCACCCTCTACGGCTTCGGAGGCTAATTAGTCGTCTTTCTCATCTGCAGCGAAACCAAAGGCCCTTTTCAGGGCCACCTATCCATTCACTCCAAAGAGTTTGACGCTTTAAGAAAGCGGATTTCGGCATGAGATCTGAAGATGTGAAGGCTAGTATCGCGTCTTAGGAACTGTAAGTTAGATTGTCTTAACTGTTTCTTGTTTCGGTTTCCAACTACTCAAGTCGTTCAGTCTTGGTAACAGCAGGTCAGTCTGCCATGCGTTTGGTGCATTTTGGCTAGGAGATTGACTTTTAGAGTGATGAACAGCATCTTTTATTCTATGCAAGTCAGTGAAGGGAGCTTGTGGCAGAGGTCTAGAGAGCATCACAGAGAAGGAACGAGGTAAAATCGAGTGCTGCTAGTAAAACGGAAAAGAAAAGTGTCCGGTCCATAAGATGTCTAGACACTCTGAGCTGAAAACAAAACAGCATGCCTTAGACATCACATGTTAAGGGATAGAGGAAAAAGGGATGGCTGACTAACTTGAACATGTT